GAGACATATAAAAATAAGGCAACACAATTGTATCTAAATAATAAACATGCAAAAATAGTAGAAACAAAATTAACTTGTACATAATTACTTACAGTAAAATGGAATAAACGTTTGGGAAGATGATGATGGAGTGAATAAAATTTCTTCAGAATTTCTAATAGAGGCTGGAAAACACGGTAATGAAGTGAAATTAATTTCTACTATATTTATTTCTCCAATACATTCAATATGACCGACTGAAATAATGTAAACCAACTACCAAATTCTCCATAGACAATTAAAATAATCCAAAGTCAACAAAAAACACTGCCTCACTGTAGCAAATCCAAATAAAAACAGGACAAGTGCGTGCATGATTGTTCACTGTAGAAAAAATAGAATAAAACCAGTTAAATCTTACATATCAGAATAAATATTAGATATTAATGATTTTTTGAACCTACTTCAATTTATATAACAGAAATAAAAAATAAAACAAAAAATTTCGGTCACCTCTCCATGCACCACGGAGTGTTTACTCCGTGGTGCACGGAGAGTAGTACTCCAGGAGAAAAAAAGCACCACGTGGCGTGCGACAAAAAAAAAACGTGATTATGAAATTATCGGTTTCTCAAAAAAGAAAAAATTCGTGGAGTGGGACCTCCCTTTAATTTCTCTCTTTCCTTCTTCTCAGGGACATCTTTATCCAGCTTTTCCTCGGTTTCAACTGCAGTGCTATTGCCTTTGGAAATGGTCTGACCTCCCTTTGCCTTCTCTCTTTCATTCTTCTCAGGGACATCTTTATCCAACTTTCCATCCTTTTTCAGCAGTCAATATTGCCTATTTTCTACTATTTACCTGATATGAAGTACATGGTCGAAAGAGCATTAAAAAGAGCTAATGAACAAGTAAAAGCAACGTATGAAAAAGGAAGCATAAAGTGATTTTATGCAAATAAAATAGTGATATGATGCATAGAAAACATATAAAAAAGAGCCAGATGATTAGACAAAAATCATGATCATTTAAAGATTTGCAGTTTTTTCCTGGGTAAGAAAATATATTGCATCTAGTGTAGGAATAAGGTACCAAAAAAATGAGTATCATAAAAATAAATGCGGTTCATGTGAAAATAAACAATATCACTTGTTCAGGATCACAAAAACTCCACATATGATGAATGTTACTGCAAAAAGGAACCATTTGTTGCTTAGGAACTATGGCATTAAAAGCAATGTATCGACAAGTTAAGACATTAATTAATGCACGTGTCAAAATTTGTATATATGCCAAATATTTTGTTCCTGTACTTAACATGGCAGAAGCTTTTCTACATCTCGAATGACTCAAGTAACTCGCCTTTAATTTTTTTGCATGACGTTAGATCATTGAAACCAGATAGCCTAAAGAAAGAAAACAATGTATAAGGAATACTAACTATTACCTATTTATGCTAGCATGTCCATGAGTGAAGTCAGAAGTTGCCTGCCAAAGAGTTTGTTTCTTGGGCTGTGGGTCGGTCTCCCTGAAAAAAGTAGGCTGTTGATTTCTGTACAATCCAAGTGTATCCACCCTCAGCACTGGGTACGAACTCAGCTCCATAGGAAATGTCCTAGCCTACCACTCTCACATCCCAAACCAATTGGCACGCCTGCCAATCCAAAGAAATTTCGAAAATCAACATTCAAAAATGGAAATGAATGGTTAATAATAATAGGATTACTCATGCAAGGAAACTTGTATGAACAAGTGAAAACCCATAATTCACAACCAATATTCTAGTTTCTGTTTATTCAATCATAAAGACGAGGATGTTAACATCAAAAACGCTTTGATTCATAGATGCACAGTGGCAAGACACGAAAGAAGTGGTTTATGGGTGTAAAGTTTATACCTGTTTGCCAACAAATTCAGGATAATTCCAGTGC